AATCTTAGGCAGGCTCCACACTCAGCGCAAAGCCTGACCCAGGGCTTGATCTCACGGCCCTGGTGTCATGACCTGAGCCAAAATCAAGAGTCAGACACTTAACCGACGGAGCCACCCAGGCGCCTCCCAAAACACTACGTTAAATGACAGGTTGCAGCTTACTTGGTTGGTAACAGCTCTCAGCGGGAGTATGTGGTGTGTATTTGCGAGCTAGTGACGGATGAAGTCCTATCTGGATGCAGGAAGGGCAGGTGCGCCGCCGGTCACAGAAAGAAAGCCAGGGGGCGGAGGGTGGTGGGCTCCTTGTGGCGCCGTGGGGCCATCTGTGTGCATTTTCTGACTCGTCTTGTTCTGTCTCAGTCCATTTGCGCAGCCGTGGCATTTTTCTACAGTAACTACCTTCTCCTTCACTGGCAACTCCTGGTCATGGTGATATTTGGGTTTTTTGGAACTATCTCGTTCTTCTCCGTGGAGTGGGATGCCGCTGCCATTGTAGCCCGGGGCTCTGACTACCGAAGTATCTGATCCGGGGCCCCTCCGGGCGGCACAGCCGGACGACGGCCCGGCTGACGTAGCCCCCCGTCGTCGCCGCCGAGTATTGGACGGTATTCAGTACGGAAAATCAAGGAATTAAGACTGCTCGATCTGCCAGGGTTGGTATTCAAGTTTACAGAGATCAGCTATTTAAAGCAAGCAGAACGAGGGGGACTCGTTCTGTTCATTATAATTGTTCAAAGATGTTGTTTTTCCATTCATCTGTCTCAAGTTCCTTATAATCATGTTAGAGAATGTAAATGTTTTCTTCTCCCTCCTGTTCTCTTTGAGAGATCCTGCCCCGATTCAGGATACGAGGCCATATGTCATATGAAGATCCTTGCTGGGTATGGAGTATGTGCTACTATGTAATAATAGGAGCGTATGCTCACCCCACATGTGCGTCTGGGAATGACATTTAAATAAATCGTGAGATGCTGGCGTGGGATCTTTGACAAGATTTGCACTTTCTTCCTCCTTAAATGTTTTGTTTTGGTAAGTTGTCCTACCTTGTCATTCATAGCAAGGACTGGCTAGTTACTATAAAATGAGGTGAGAATCGTCGAAAGTCTTAAAAATGAATCTAACGTGTAAATGAACAAAAATGCATTGAAAACACACACACACACACACACACACACACACACACACATTTACCAGAGGAGGATTTTGGCTAGTATCGTCCTAGAAGATGCAATGCAAAAAAAAAAAAAAAAAAAAAAAAAGCGACAGCAGTTCTGTGGTAGCAGGGCTCCCGTCACAGAGAGCAGACACCATGACTAACGCCGTACGGCTATTTGGGGAGACGCTTAAATGGAAACGTTAACTTTCCTCCGTGAGAGATTGCTTGCGGCTTCTTTCTAATCGACATATGATTCAGAAACCATGGAATTCACCGTTTGAAAGTGTAGTTTCGTGGGTTTTTTTTTTTTTAAGTCTATTCACAAAGTTTGTACAGCTATCACCACGATCTAATTCTAGAACATTCTCATCACCCCAAAAAGAAACCCCACGCCTTTTCGCAGTCATTCCCCATTGCCTGGGTTAGCACTAGCAAACCTTCCTGTGCTTTCCGTCTCTCTAGATTGGCCTGCTTGGACATTTCTTACGAACGGGAGAGCTCACTTTTAACTGTGATGGTTTACTGTACAAATGAAGTTTTACGGCAAGGTCCGTTCAGCCAAGAGGACAGATGATTCCTTGTTTCCTCTTGTTTTTTAAATTTTTTTTTTTTTCAACGTTTATTTATTTTTGGGACAGAAAGAGACAGAGCATGAACGGGGGAGGGGCAGAGAGAGAGGGAGACACAGAATCGGAAACAGGCTCCAGGCTCTGAGCCATCAGCCCAGAGCCCGACGCGGGGCTCGAACTCACGGATCGCGAGATCGTGACCTGGCTGAAGTCGGACGCTTAACCGACTGCGCCACCCAGGCGCCCCTCCTCTTGTTTTTTAAAAACCTGCTAGAAATTTAGAGATGTTTATAGTTGGCATACAAACCCGAAGAAATTCGATGGAGTATGATTTTCAGACTGCAGGGAGTCAGAAACCCTTGGAGTTAGCCAGAATCCTTAGAGAAATTTAATTCATGTGGAGCACTGCACTCCTTTTTTCCTGGTTGTATAAAGTTTTGGTTTTCTTTCTCCAAGTTGAGATAAATTCCATTGTTCGTTGATGCTACATAAATAGTTTGTAAGTGCTATTTCAGAATTAATACAAATGATTTTGCGGTCTCCTTATGCACATGACCGCTGACCCAGGTGTAGGAGTTTTCTATCGTGGTGTAACAAATGACCCGAAAACTTGGCCACTTAAAACCACGCACGCTTACCATCTCACGGTTTCCGTGGGTCAGGAATCTGCGTGGCTAGGCTGGGTCCTGGGCTCAGGGTCTGTCACGGGTCTGGGTTGGGCTCAGCTGGGGAAGGACCCTCTTCTCAGCTCACTGTTGCAGTTGTTGGCAAGAGTCCGCGCCTCGCAGGCCGCTGGATAAGGGTCTTCATTTCTCACTGGCTCTTGGTCGAAGGCCACCCCTCTTGTTCCTCGTTAGGGCGCTGTCTTCATCAAAGAAAGCAAACGAGAAAAGCCAGGGAATGCTAGCGAGACAGAAGTCAGTCTTTTGTAACTGCATCTCTAAAGAGACAGTTCCGCCCCTTCTGCTCTCTTTGTTAGCCACAAGTCACCAGCTCTGGAGGGGAGTATTACTCAGGGAGGAAGTACCACGAGTCAGGGACCCCCCGGGACCATCGCCATCGTCCAAGGCTGCTTATCGCACCCGGCTTAGACTCTTACAGTTAAGCTCACACTGGGCCCTACGTTCCCACATCCCTTGCCCCATTTGTTCCTAACGGGTCTGCACGATGAGGCTGGCGGAGGTTAAGTAGCTTCTGTGAGCGACACAGACTGCCCTCATCCAAGAAAGCCGTTATGTGTCATCCCCACTAGGAGGATTCCTGGGAACTCAAGAAGGAAATGAAATGGAGGGAGGTGCCTGGCCAGGAACGTGACTTCCGGGCTGGGTCCCATGGATCTGTGTGGTGGTACCTGCTTGAAATTCTGTCCTCACATTCAGTTTCCCGGGGTCTGGCTTTTACTCAGTTTCTTCTTTTTTTTTTTTTT